TGTGTCTTACGAACGGATCGCGAGCACCCATTGTTCATCGACGTCTTTGCAGCAACGTTCGAACAAGTCACTTCTACCATCCGACTCCTAACAGTTCGAACTATGATCGAAAGCTGAGAGTATTGTATATCGGGATTGGACGTTCGACACTGGCCAATCATATCTGAGCGCTATCCTGCTTGTTAAATTATCGATAACGTCAGGCAGAGACAGGATTAATTAGAGACGCCATTGTTATAATGTAGTTCATGTCAATTCCACGTCGGTCGATCAAGCAAAATGTCTTCCAGTATTTCGAACAGTTCCAAAGAAAATGACCAAGTCCCAGTGCTAATTACCATGCTCGAAAGAAACACTCCCAAGGGGGCAATTGATTCTCGACAAACGGTAATTCAGCCGTTAAATAAATCGACGGAAGGGAAAACTTTTCAGCTTTCGGGACGAGGCGATTAACGGCGACGCTGGTCGAAAGGATAACGAGGAGAATCTGGAGCGTTCGGACCAGGGTCAATCGTTTACCCAGAGACTAACGGAACAGTTTGACCAAGAGTTTGCGAAGTATTACCGTGTCGTGTAACCCCGGCTGACTCGATGCATGCCAACGTCATTAGTTATGGATTAAGATGCCGGCGTCGCGTCGCTTCGCATCCCTTCGGCTAGACTCAATTTAAGCTAATAAGAGCTCGCGGGAGAGAGGGGAAGGAAATTTAGGTCAGTTTGAACCGACCGATGAAATCTGACCAAACCCGAAATACGAGGATGAATTCCTTTCGAACACAACCACCGGGTTTCTATTCTACCCGGTAGCCAGGCACACCCGTATGTTGTCTCTGTTTGATTGGTTTAAATGGCGCGGCAGCGACCACATTTCGACCGACTATCGGGGAAACGCTTTAACCAGCCGTGTTGCCTACAATTGAGCGACGCGCGTTTATCAGCGACGTTGACGTTACTAATCTTCGGTTGCTCCACTTTCTCCCAGGATCGTTCGATCGAGCAACGAAAATTATCTTCCAGCTTTTCGTTATTTTATTTTGAAATTCAATATTTTATAACTACTCACCACGTACAGTCCTTCGAGGGCTCCCAAAAGCGTGACGAGCTCCACGTTCTCGAAGCGGATATCCGGCAGGAGAGCTAGCAACGGACACCTAACTCCAGCTTTCAGTGCTCTGTTAACAAAACAAAGTAATGGGATGTTAAACGAGAATGATAGAGAATTCGAAGGAAAATCAAACAGCAGAATTGAGTGGTATGCAACTTCCCCCCTCTCTTGATTACTAATGAGATCAGCTGTGCGTCAGAATGCTCGCGATTTCAAAATCTCTTGATTAATCGAACGAACTTTCAAGCGATAAGATTGAAGCTGGATTAAAGCTATCTTCGAACAAACAAATGGTCAATCGGTTGCGTGTATTCGTTTTGTTCTGAGTTATATACAAAGCGCGAGCGGTGATGCATAAAACAGTGAACGCGATACTCGATCATGAATATTTACTCGCGCAGTTCATTGCAAATTTATTAGCAAAAATATGGTGGCGAAATGAAGCTTGCTCATCTGACGATTCATAAATAGATACGGTCGATCGCCGGGAAAAGTCGATAGCTTTTATGAATCATTCAGCCGGCAGTGCACAATCAACCCTTCCACGATTCGGGGTTAACTATTCCGTGGAGCTTCTTATAAATATTCAACGGCTGAATTTATCTCTTCACACGGAGGCCATCGATCATACAAAACGAGGGGTGCGTCGGAATCTTGCGGGATGATAACGCGATTAACCCTATCCGTCAATGAATACTATCTCTTTCCTATTTTGCCGCAACTCTTCACTGTCGTACATCTGTTTCCTATCGCCGTCATGTGAGCAAGGATTAGACGAGCTTCGATCTACCAGAACCATTCATTTTGTAATTTATTATTTACATTTGTTAATTTGTACTCGCTATTTATTATTTACACTCTTCAGGCATATCGTCAAATATATTTGTTCGATCTCAATTTCGAAAACTGTTTTCATCGCTGCGACGTATAGTTGATTGAAAATGAAAAACGATGCACGTCAAATATTTTGTCGACTTTTTACGTCATAAAAAAATTGTACAAAAACGTGACGGGTTAAAAAACTTGTACGTTTCAACAAAATATTCGGTGTAGTAACGAAGAATAGCCAGTTTCAGATGTGGTACACGCACCCTTCGTGGAAGAAGAATGAACAAACGAGAAACCAGAAACGAATTGATGACAGAGTCGCGGAACAAAACCGTTGGGAAGCGTTCTTTTTCACGCGTGACCGAACCAATGATTCGAAAACTCGGTGTGCTCGTTAGCCGACGGTTTGTCGTTAGATTCGATTATCCGCCACTCGACGCCTGCAGCCGTGGACTTTTACAGAGAGCAAACGTTTCGAGGACCGATCGCAGCAACGTTCACGGCTCCCGAAGGTAACCGCATTATCCGCCGCGCGAAATCTCCTTCGTTATTCAACAAGCGGCTAATCCGAGTTCGCTTAATGACCCTGCACTTCGAACCTTCCGGCGCGCCAATTAAGCCGGCCGGCGATTAATAAGCAATTACGCGCGAATCGTCTCCGGTTGATCTCTCCGTAGCTTTGTTTTTATCTCCCTAACTTCTCTGCCTAACGTTCGATTCAACGACTTACGAATTTTATCTTAATTAGTAAGATCCTTCCCCAAGCTTCGACTTCTACTTAACTTCATCTAATAAATATAACCATTATTTTCAGTTAATTTTTCCAATCGAACTACCTTTGGACACCTTTAATGGCCGCCTCGGCGAAGCTCCGCACGTCGTGATAATCCATGTTGAGCGGGCCTGTCGGACTGTAAATGAGCCTTTTCGCGGGCAAATTGATTGGCAAAACCGCACCTATCACGCCCAGGGCGGAATCGATCTGGGCAGCGCTGTATAAAACAGTTTTGAAAGGCTCCGGCTCGTCAAAACCCGGCGCGCAACCCGATATCAGGATTATGCCGTCGTAGTCGCAGCTGCAGATGTTCGGCTCGATTTTCAGCTGACACGGCATCCATCTGAAACAAATCATTATGCTCGTTAGCACGGTTCGTCGGTGCTAATTGTCGTGACTCCGGGGCTAGCCGAGTAATTAGTCGGTAACCGGATCCACCGCGTGTCTCGCCATAATTCGTAAACAATAGGCTGCCGCGAGCTTGTTCTTCGAGTAATTTTGTCGTTCGAACGAGAGCATTGTTGTTTCGAAAAGTAGATCCACGCGAACGAAGAATCGATGTTTGAATCCTGATTTTCGAATACCAGATTCTTCGTTGGTTCGTTTTGAAATTCGAATTCGATGCATCGAAATGGCGGAATCCGTGGGCGGTAACCATTTAGAACATTAGGATCAATGGAAAGGAATCCGTAACCTAATTGATTGGAACATTCATCTGCTAGAAGATTTCGAGTTCGAAACGGTCTCGGTATAAGAGCGGAATAGAGGGAGCATAGTTTCTTGCTTCCTCAAGCAATATCGATGCGATCCTCGATTCAGGACTTGGAAAGTCGACGTTCAAACGATATCTCCGAGGCAACTTCGAGCAGTCGATACGAATCTCGAGGCACACAAATTCCACGAGCTTCCCAACTGACCGCGATTCGTTTCTCCAAGAGTCCCGTTGAAAGCGTCTGGTCAAGATTTATCGTGAAACACGGATGCTTCGAATCGAAACACCTCTCGTTTCCCGTGCGATCTCTGAATCGTTTCAATGTTCCTCTCTTTGGACGATCCTCCTCGAGAGCTTAATATTTCTAAGGCTATTAAACGCTCCCTCAACGTCGAGCCCGATTCAAACCGCGCAGAAGATGGAAATTCCATTTGGAAGCTGATAATTACGCGCACGAAATTCTAATATATTCGACGAATTTCAATCGCGTCCATCAAACGAATCCCACACGCGTAATGTTGCTCGCGACGACCGAACTTTTCCTCCCGTTATTTTCGCGGGCCAACGAAACAGCCACGGTGCTCGAGGGGTGTCTTTTTACGCGAAGCGAGTTCGCGATGCGGTTCCAGACCTCCCTCGAGGACGAAGAACGTAGAATCGTGTAGTAACTCGCTGCATGTTTCACGCTTTTATCTTCGTTATCAATCACCAGCCAGCTTTCCGCCCGCGGAACTTTGGAGAATGTTCATCAGCCGAGCGGAAACGGGAACTTTGCGCGATATTTACGACCTGTAGAAATGTCTTTGAGGACTCGGGACTCTGGCACGCTTTCGAGTCATGGCTTTGTTAACTTTTTGTACAGTCATCTGTTTGTAAAATTGTATTGTCTCCGAAGAAAGACGAAACTATTTATAACTTAGATACTTGTCTACCGAAGATCGTATCTTCCCGGTGGTACCGTGATTACAATCAGACTTTATGCGATTATAATAAGTGGTGTGATACCGAGATAAGACGTTCAAATACTCGTTTTGATTCGAGAAAACAATACTCTCGAGATTTCTTTGATTAGTTTCAAGTACATTCAACGACCTTTTTTCGAAAGCCGAGAATAAAAATATCGTTCTAACGATATCACACTGTTTATCGTGACATTGGAAACCCGTGCGATATAACATTAACTAAAGTAGTAAAGACAAAATTGTTTAAATACTCAAAGCAGTAATATTCAAAGTCGAGGACGTGATGGTTTTTCAGGTGAATCAGAATGGTCCTGAAGACGTGGCCGTTTTACACGCGTTTACCTCGATTCCACAGCCATGATGGATCACAGTGCGACGATGTCCTCTCCTGGAACTTATCCGAATCTTCCGCGAAGGATTCTTCGATTCTCTGCCGGCGGATCGCGCGATCGAAGCTTCGTGTTTCCATGGATCGCGATCTGGAAATCGTGACAAGGGAGACGGCGTTCCTCCGCGTCGAAAGGAGAAAATAGCAACGATCAATCGATCGTCGTCGTTCGTTGCTTGCTTCGCATTCAACGTATCGCAAGGGGAAAATAAAAGAGCGCGGCATCTTTCTAACGCAACACTTACAAAACGTTCTATATTTATGTATGCAAAAAGAACAAAATAAATTATTCACAATATCTCATGTACAGATCATTCGTTAATCCATATCGTTCACCTCGCAATCCGTAATCGTTACAAAAATACCACGCAATCCATGAGACGTACATAAAACGTAACAATATCGTAAAAACACAGAAGAGCATCTCCGTCGTACAAACATCGTCGACGGTGTTCTCCTTTTATTTGCACACGCGAGTCGCTCGTCTTCGAGCGAGAAGAACTCTGACCTTAAGAATCGAAACCTTGCGCAACGAACACATTAACATCCACTTGATTCCTCGCAATCTTATCACGATTCAATACTTTCGTTACTCGCTAACGCAGGGGCGGGCCTGGATACGGAATTCTAGAGAATTTTTTAGGCATCTAACAAATGTCAAAGATCATATCAACTAAGGTAAATAACGAAAGATTGACTCTGCAATAGAACGTCGATTTCAGTAAAATTATATCTTACGTGATTACAAGCATATTTCTATATCTATAATCTTTTATAACGAACGCCTTCAACTTTCCGTCGAAATGTACTCTCGAAGAAAGAAAGAATTCCGTAATCTCAGGCGAGGATTGTTTAAACGATGAGTATTAGACGCGCGCGTACGTATAACGTACAAGTGTCCGTATGGCAAATTTGCGAGTACGAGGGTCTCGCAAATGAAGACTGGTGCGTTAGCGAGAGAGAAAATAAAATGAAAACTAAAACAGTTCCGCGAATTTGAAACTACGTTTACTTCTTAAGTGCTTCGTGTACGAAGTTCGTCGATCGAAGTGAGGGGATGGGGGGCCGTCAGTCTCGTACGAAGAAAGAAAACAGGGGGGGAGAGGGGGAAGGAAGAAACGAGATTGCAAATCGAGTCAGCAGGGTAGATGCGGTGCAGCGAGATGCACACTTCAGTGCATCGATAAATGCCACCGTTTGTACGCTACCCTGTTGCGTGCCTCGACGAAAACCTTACAAAAAATCGAGCGAATTTCATTCTCCAACGAGACGCGTAAACGCATTTTTCCCCGAGTCTACTTAACACACAATTGCATTCTTTAAACGCACACACACACATGCTCACGTAAATCGCTCCGATGGTAGGGTATATGTGTACAGGGGTCATTTATTAAACGGGGCTTAAAGCGTAATTTTCACGTGACATTATCATGAATTCTGATTTGGAAAATATTTTTCCTTAAAAATCTAAAAGTTACTTTCCGCGAAGTTTTTATTTCTTTTTTTACTTCTAGGCTAACATGCTTGCGGCGATGCGAAAAAGTAGCTTCAACCGCGAACGTTGCATGCCAGCGATCAAAACAATTTGATTCCGTGGCATTAAAACCGCGACATGAAATCCAATATCACGATAAAGCGGCATCTAATGAACAGCGGACGAGTCACGACAGTGAAATTCCCTGTCACGTGAAAACTCACCTTTAACGAAGCCTCGTTCAAGCTTATTCGTCTTTGTATATACTGGCGTCTACCCTGTAAAAATCGAAAGGAATACCGGCGATACTGGCGACGCTGGTTAATCGTACATCAAAGTAACAGCTAAACGAATTTGTAAGTCGATCGCGAATATCCCGGATCGCGGATCGGTTCGATCCATCGTACTCGTTAAATCGACGGGAAGTACTACGCGCTAGGATCGAAGTATCGACATAATACTACCTAAGAATTCTATCAAGAGCGACGCGTTCTCCGGCTCCATAAACTCTCATCGATAACATAGTTCAATCGACGCCCAATCACTTTTTTTTTGTTTTACTACACTATAAAAATGAAAAGAAAAAGGGATAGAATACTTGAAATCACTGTTCCGAAGGGTTCACAGCCGGGTCCCTTTGCTGACCTCGCTGGTCACGTCGAGCGATATGTTCTTAAGGGCGTTCAGCTTCTCGATGTAATCGACGTTGATACGAAGCATCCCGTTGTCGTCCACGACCCCCTGAAGAGGGGTGGTCTTCTCCGTGCCATTCGCAATCGAGATCACCGACGAGGATGAGGTCGCGTTGGTCGCGTTGTGCTCGTTCTGCAGTCGCGTGCTACTCGCGTACAGTCTTCGTCTTCCAGGGAAGAATCTTGACATCTTCACCGCCAGAGGATGAAGCAGATGTTCCTCGTACATGTCGCCCTTTGGGTCAGCCGTGATCAGGCTGACGATGATGCCAACGATCACCGTTGACAGGCTACCTATCAGGGCGTAGTACATGTAGGTTATACTATAAAGATACTCGATGGGTCCCATCTCGGACTTTCCGTCGACCATTGACGTATTTTGCCAAAGCTTCGTCGTGACGTTGGAAGTGATGGACATCAAGTCACCCGGTTGAGTGACCCACGGCGAGAACGTGTCGTTCTTACAGTTCTCCGTGGACAGGGGCAAAGTTTCCACGTCGTTGTTGATCGTCAAGTGTCCGAAAGTGATCCACAGCGTGGTCACGTGACTGAAGACCATCCCGGCAGCCGCGCCCTTCCAGTTGGCACACGGTACCAGCATGGCCAACAGGAACACGCCGAGCAATGGACCAGAAGTGGCCGACGTCATCAACATCGAGGACTCGATCACTCCTGACAACATCGCCACCAGAAAACTGACGCCTACTATCAGCACGCCGTAGATAACGCTGATCAACTTGATCAACTGTAACTGCTGGTTATCTTTCAGATCACTCAGAGACGGTATCTGGCTGAGAAAGTCCTCGAACGTGACCGTGGCCAAGGAGTTCAGATTCGAGACCGCCAAGGTGAGCGCGCTGTTGAACAAAGTCGCCATCACTAGACCCAACAGACCCGGGACGCTGAGGAACTTGTCCTCCACGTAGAACGGCACGATCTCGTCGAATTTCGAGATGTAGCCGAGCGACAGAGGATCGCAATCCGCGTAGTTGGCGAAGATCACCATACCCACTACCCAGGAGAGGGAGAACAAGACGCAGATTATCGGCATGTTCGCCATCATTGTTCTGAAAGAAATATTAAAAACACACTCAATATGTGTATATCTATTCGAGATCTTAATTTTACTGTTTATTTTAACGCAGTAATTTATCAACAAAATACCTCATCAAATTTTCAACTCATGTGTCAACCTAACAGCTAATGATTCTTTCCACAAAGTAGACATATTTACTTCCGCATGCTTATTTATGCTAATATCCAGATAATATCCAAATAAGAGGTCGTAGAAACAATAAACAACTGTACTAATTTGTTTTCGACAAATTAGATGATAAGGTAGAAAAGGTTCTAAACTTTAATTTTCAGTAGTGTTAGCCTTCAATTTATCTGCCTTACAAGTGAAACAAGCCTTCGAAAATGGATCTTAACAACTTGTAACGTATGTCATTCTTAGATGCTCGAATCGACGCTGTTGACCCGAGATAGGGGATCGAGCATCCGTTAAAAAGTTTGGCCCGGTGCCATTTAACCCCGTGTTCGTCCTCGAGCCAGGACGAAGGACTCATTGATTATGCGGTACCGAAAAGTGGGGCCAGAATTGAGACACGTTCTCGAGACGGTAGACCGCACGGGAATCGTGGTTCGACCACGAAATTTATGTCGGAATTTTTCGAACGGCACAATATTCTAAAAACGATCATTCGAGGCGAATAACCACCGCGTTATTCCCGCGGCGAAAGCTTTATCAGCGCTTGAAACGCACAATAAAGCGATCGTTTCGCGGCGTGCCCACGTTTCGCAGTTACATTCCAATAAAACAAAAAAAAAAAAAAAAAAATATCATTCGAGAAAACGTTTTTATCGCGCCACGACACGATTATATTCTAATAAAAGTCCATATTCCGAGGGAACGTTTTCGACGTGACAAACTGACGGCAGGCTTTTCAGATTTATACTCTAATAAAACGGACGCGCGGGAAAACACCTCTGTGGATAGGCCAGCGTCGATGTTTCGCTGGGAAAAAAGAGGAGAGATAAATTGTCTCTGAAATTGACGATTCGTTTGTCGCATTTTTGAATACGAACCGAACCTCGCACATCAAATACATAGGTCGATGATGCGTGTTTGCTTTCCCGCTTCAACCGATGATCGATCGACTTTTCACGACCGTAATATCTCTCTTTACGAAAAGAATCGCGTTTCTTTCGTCCTGTTCTTTCACAGATTCGTGCTACTTTTTTTGTGACAACAAATGGTTTCGTTTTGATCCATTTTTTAGAAAAGAAAAAAAACGGAAGGTGGTCGATTCTGCTGTTTGTGCGTAATTACGATAAACCGTAAAGGTGATTAGCGACCACACAGTTCTGAAAATAACGGCCAGATAAGTGTGACAATTTGCATAATGCGAGGTGACTGGTTATCATACGGTAGCACGCGAACCATGTGACTGGATCATAATAATAACTGATATGATAACGAGCGATACGCAAAAATTGCGTCTCGACAGTGTGACGGTGATTCACCTTCCTGGTTCAACCATCTGTCTGTCCCAGCTTAAATTGACGTTTTAATTGAAACGTAACGTAAGAAAAAAGGAAGACGAACGGATGGTTTCGAATTTCTTCGAGAATGCTACAGGGAAGTACTTCCTCGCTCTGTCCCGAGGGAAAATAGTCGATTCGAGGAACACGTTAACTAAGTGATTCGAAAACTTTCCTACATTCTGTTACTTCATTCCCGGAAATAGAACTATAATTTCGTCGATAACAAGTTTCTTCAAGGTGAAGCGTGAAAATGTTTCTCGAAAATCGGTTAGTCCACTTGCATTGATAAGCAATTAACTTAACAAACCTTAAGTAGTGAGCTAAAATTATGGAATACTATTCTGCTTAGTAATTTTCTATTCAATTATACTAATACTTAGTTGCTTCCTTGGAACAAATTTTCAAGTACTCCCCGTGGATGAATGAATTTTTACAATACGAAACAGCTGCTTATTAAAATTGGTACGTCATTCAGATTACGATTGACACGATATTTGAAGCGTTAATAAATCAACCCACACGAATTTCAGGTGTCGGCAAAATGTATTTAATATTGTCATGCAAATTCTTGCGAATCAGAAACACGACCTGCAAACGGATCAGTTTATATCGGATTAAACATTCCGAACTATTTCTTTCGCTTATTTCACATATGCGTTCATATTTCACATATGTATAGCACATCGTAACGCGTGGCTTTGTCTTCGGGACGCCTGTTTACATATCTACCGCGTAAACTGTTAATCCCGTGTGCGTGTCTCGAAATTTTAGATAAGGGAAGCAAGAGGTTCTGCATTCACGGGCGTGACTCGACGGGAGCAATGTAATTTCGGCGGAAATTACGAAAGGAACGATGCAGATTTCGTATAAGCGACCTCCTCGGTACCCATCGTTTAGCAAAGAATCATTAAACGAGCGAAAGTTTCGGGGAAAAAATGAACGAAAGTGTAACTCACTTGACGACTTTGCGTTGACTAGTCATACTGCAGTATCTCTGCACAAAGTTCTGCTGGCAGCCGAAAATGGACAAACTCATAAACAGTTGTCCCAGGGTGGCTGATAGCGTCGTGACGCGTAGCGTGGGATCCAAATCCATACTGAGAACAGATTTCATCTTGATTAATTCCACGGATTCGTCGAAAGAGAAAAGAAAAAAAAAAAAACGAAAAAGGTGGATGTGTCGCGAAATTGATGCTATCCATTCTCTGGAAACGTCTCCGACATAAGGAGCGTCTCTAAAGAGAAAGGCTCTTTATCCATTCAAAAAGTTTCGTCGGAGGGAACGTAGACTCGAGGCAAATCCGCCAGGTACCCTATTCGTTTCCGTGGCCGTAAATCGGGGTTACTTTGTTTCGCCGCCTTTGTTCCATCGCGCTATATGGCCAGAAGGGTTGTTTTGAATTGGAACGACGCGATGAATGTCGGGTAATTTTATTGCTAGTCTCAAACGACTGCTCAGCTATTCGTCGTTTACAACGGACCAGTTGTCTACCGAAGCTGGTGATAAAACAATGAAAGAAAATCAACTCCTTTCGGATTAACCTCGTCTACCTTTTCCCCAGAGAAAATTTTTTCTTTTCAAGAAACGTATCAATTGATTTGATCGTAAATCTTTCGATCCTTTATTAACTCGGCGAGCGTTAGGTCCAGATGATATATTCTACTCCGACGTTCGCAGGGTTAAACGTGCAAAAAGAAGATACATGTTATCTGATCGAAATACGAAATTCACGTGACTACAGTAGTTCGATTTAATGTCTAAGTACTCACTTGAAGAAATCTAATCGGCCACGTTCGTATGTCACGTTGAAAACTTGAGCTGGACCGATATCAATTGATCCACGAATGATAATCACCAACGAGACACCGATCATCGTGATACCCTGTATAACATCCGATAGGATCGCTGCCTTCAAACCTCCCTGAGAGCAAAACAAAAATATAACATTCCTCAATTTCATTCATCATTCGAATTCCATCTGATAGTACGCTAAAACTATTACAAACGCATTCGTTTAGTCGTTACGAATTTAAGAGCATCTTTCTGCAATGTATTATGAGGCAAAACGGTGGAAGGAATGAGCGCATTACTTTCAAAGCACTGTCCTTTCAGCCGATATATAGCAGTTTTACGATCGTATCACATTTACGATCTTTCCGGTCCGGGAATTCACCTGGAAAGGGCGAACGACGTACTCTCAGAGCTCGTGAATAATTGACACGTTATAAATGTGGCCGGACATCGTGAAGGTGATCTTAAAGTCTTAAAATCATTCGGCATGAAAAGACATTCTTTATTGGGTTCCGCTGACGCGAAATTACGATGCTCGTTTAACTGTCTATAGCCGACTTTTATCATCGTTGAAGGAAAAATTAAGTATTCGTCGGGACGAACTCGCATACTTTTCTTAGGTTTCGTCAATATTGTGTCATGTTTGTTCACCGTTCCTTTACTTACGATCGTGTATCAATGACGTTCATTAATTTGCATGCGCTACTTTAAACTCGATATGGTAATAACAGTAAATGATTACTCATCGCTGTGTAATCGTTTCAAGAAGTTTCTATACAAAAAAGGAAGCTGATGGCTTTCAAACACGTTTCCTTAAGCCTGGTCTACACTTCGGAAGGAAATGAATAAAGGGTGTTCGCAAATATTGGTTGAAAAACAAGCGAACAATCAAATGTAAACAGGCTTTTGGGCAAATGTTTAGTTCTTGGTGTCGTTCTATTTTTCTACGCTGGTAAATATTTGTTCCGCAAACATTTGTATGGGAACAATTGTATCTAAAAACGTGGGCTAGGTTTCACGTTGTCGCTACGTTTTAAGCTTAAATAGCTTTACGGTTTCGATAGAACTTTGTACACGTACCGACGAAAAATTCGCTGCCATTTATTTAAACGTTTTTAAACGAATATTTTCAAGTAACTTTTACATTGCTTTTTGCGCTTCCTATCAAACAGTTGCATTTACGTCCGAATCGCGGCCTCGATGTTGCGACTAATTAACGCGTTGCAATTTGAAAAGTAAATTTAAAAAATGATTATTCATATCCTTAATTATAGTTTCGTGTTCATTTTTACATAAAATGTTAACTATACGAATAATGAGCTTGTTAGACGTAAGCTATTATTAAAAACAGCTTTCTATCGAATCTATTTACACTGGTGTTCATCTTTCCTCAGCGGTAATCTCATACTTTCTATCACAAACAGCGATAAATCTTACTCGCGTCAACGTTATAAGCCTTAGGAATTTACAGAAGTCTACGACAAATTGATCAATTTCTTCGGTTGAATTTCGTACATACCATCAGGGTGAAGATGACTGAAATCGAGGTGATCCCGATGATGCTGGCCCAATACGGCAGGCCTATCACAGCTTTCAAAGCGACGCAAGGCGTGAATATCGTAACAGCCAAGTTCAGCAGGCTGCGTATCACGTACGAGAAGCTGGCTAGGCATCTGACTAGCTTCGACTTGAACCTAGATAGGATTAGCATAATTACAAAGAAGCTCTGTCCGCCGGGACGGCCGGACATAATCGTTAAGAGCGAAGATGATTTCAAGGTTCGCGGCGCGAAATCAACGTCCGAATGATCGTTTTCGAGAACGTCTAGAAAAGCTGAGTTAAGAAATCTGAAAGAAATAAAGAAAACATCGAATCACCGAAAAATTAATTACCTCATATCCAAGTACTGATAGACAGACGTGATGCCGAGGTTGTAGTAAACAGGCACGAAGACGAAACACACGATCGGATAAGCGAGCAGCATCCCGTAGATGGTCTCCCACATTGCGCTACCCCTGTAGTAGAGTTCCGATGGGTAGCCGAGAAAGGATCTAACCCCGAGGGTCCCACGCGCGATCGACAGCATCATGGCACCCATGGAGACACTTCCAGTAGCGAACACGTAGTCTGCCTTGGTCGACTCCTTTCGACGACCACGGAATTTGCTCCATAACGGGATGACGAACGAGGCGACGATGCAACCGATGAAGATCAGGTAGTCCACTACCATGGACGACGCGTTGATCGTCATCCTGGGCTCTCTTGCGGTCCCGTTTCTTCCCTTAGCCTCGAGTTCTTCGTGGTACCGGAAAAATCGTATGTGCCGATGTTAAACGCGTTATTAACGGTCGCCTTGAACGGCTTCGTGTTTGAATCTACCGGCGAGACAGTCTCGAGATCTTCGTCTCGTCGAGCTCTTTTTCGAGCTCTCGCGATCTTTGACGATTTAGTCGCGGCTCGCGATACAATTCGCTCGTTCGAAACGTACGGGCGTAAAGTTGGTCGCGTCGCTTTTATATGAAAGTTAACGTGCCGACGCCAGCGTACCACTCGGCTCTGTCTTTCGTTGCGCAATTTTTCGTCGGCTCTGATCGCGAGTGATCCTCGATCGATGGAGATGAGAGGAATCCGTGATGCGATCGGTACAGTGTCGTGTACCGTGACTAACGCTCTCCGTAAACCACTTCACGTTAATATGCTCTGGACCCCAAGCGAGACGGAACTAAACGAGCCGATAGCGTGACGAAGACGGTTCAAAGACTATCTTCCGGCTAGTGGAGGGGACGGAGGTGAGCAAACTGGAAGGGACTAGAGATGGTACGGAAAGCTGGTGTCAAGCTTTCCTTATCTTATTTTATTCGCTATTGTTTGCCTTGTGTGCTCCCAGTGTTTGCTCGCTAACGATCATTGCCAACGATTTCTGATGCGATACCGAATATCGTAATTGGTTCATAATCGCTGTCGTGCTACGATCACAACGATTATGTAAATCAACCGGCGCGGCGCTCCTTCCCGACCACTGCACCGGCCACGTGACACGACTGCCTGACGCTACCGACGATTGTTTCTGTTTTTCAGGGAAAACGAAAGCCACGGTTAAATATTTGCTTTCTAGCATTGCACAGATTCTTTCGGTGTTTACCGACGAAACAACCGATCGTTTGCTGATTGCATACGGGAGCCTCGATAAGGAGAAAGTTGACAAATTGACAAAATCTAATCTTCCATTCGAATTAATCCTTTTACTATGCGCTTTATTCAAATCAGAATTTCCTGACGCATTCCATCCCGAAACACGAGTTTGTCTGTTCATTGATATTCCTCTTAGAACCCAGCCACTAACGACAAGTAGCTGTTCCTGTCGAATACTAATTATCTTCGTTCTATTCGATCGACTAATCATTTCAGACCTAGAATTTACGTACAAACAACCGATCGATTTCTTTCATCTTCGATCCGCCCCCCAATGAAACATCAAGCATTATGTTAACAACAGTCCAGATGTGCATAACCGGAATAATCTACTGTGTTTTCTTTGATAACTCGACCTCGCTGTCATAAATAAGAGAATAAATATTGCTACGAGCTCGTGACACGCGGATCATATGATTCCTGCGTGCTGGGCGAAACTCATTCGTTCGAGATAATCGCATCGACTGCAGTCGACGACGAATCATCAAGTGGCACAAAGCGCGGAGTCGAAGAGGAAGACGGTTCTTCAGTTTCTCTGAGAAACTCTCTGAACGTCTTTTTGAGCTAGCTGCCTCGAGTGGCGCACCGTTTGACCCTGAAAACTTCTAGCCCGAGTATCCCGACTCGGTTGGAAAAGGCTTCTACCGTTTTAATCGCTTAACCTCGGAACCAACGTCACGTGAAATCACAGAGGAAGGAAGTAGCTTTCTTGCACGTTGAAACACACTGCTGTCACGGTGAAGTTCTCGTTCGTTGACGGCGCGAGAATATCAAACTGGCTCTTCAACGAACGGATCAGACGGCGCCTTCTACTTAGACGCGTGACACCATCGATCAGACGCCAAGCCGTGGAAATTTCCTTGAAAAAACATTAATCCACAGACGTCTGACTCGTCCTCTTTCGTCCCACACGACGAGAACCTCTTTCGACACCCTCGTTCCACCCGATACCAGATGAGACTGAGTCGAAGATTTGCCTGACGTCTCTCCTTAGGGAGCAACGAATCACTACCTGTACGCCCTCCGCGATTGGTAGTCGATACATTTGCGTTATCGCTTTAAAATGCAAGTCAAGGGTCACGATCCACTTTTCGTAGTAGCTGAATTTACTCGTGTCGGAAAGGGTTGCTAAATAAAAAAGGATGAATTAGCAAATTATAACAGAATACAGGAAAAAAACGTCAGACAGGTGGCGATGAATTAAGAACAAACATATGGTGTGTTATCTCACAGTTACACAGCTGATACTAATTCAGTCGAAAATACTCATCAGACATTCGTATTTTAACAGCTGCTCCATGATTACGTCGTCTATAAAGAAATACATGCTATTTTGGGGAAACTCGCTACATCTTTTTTTTCCTTTTCCCACTTCACTTCCCAGTCTCTTGTTCTAACCTCGCCACACGTTAACACGAAACGCAGCTAGAAACAATGCGAGGTCGTACGAAATGCGAAACGTTGACTAAAGATTCAAGGGGGATGTTTTGAGGGCAAGCATGATAACGCTAACGCGTCCGAGAGCTCATTGTGAGGTGCACTTTGAAACAATGAGCTCGTGGCATTCTTCCTTCACAGACATTTGTCTCTTCGTTTTTATAACTCCTACCATCGTTCGACGCCTCCCTCGTGCAAAATTTTTCCCCGAGCTTTTGTACGGTCACGCGAGAACCTCTTACGTTTGACAGCGAACCAGGGAGAAGCTTTGAGGAAAACGGTGCTTCGCTGCGGAGTACTTTTTCCCTTCTCCGAGAAAAATTCTTACAAGTATTTTAGTTTAAATTTAGTGATTTTGAACGATCAACTGGTTTCTCGGTAGGAAAGGAACAAACTTTGCTTCGTTTTATTCCAACGAAAACAGCTTTTTAAGACGCGGACCAGGGAGAGAGCAATTCGCATGGAACGTGCACGCATACTTGTGCATCGGGCTTCGGTGAGAAGCGGTCTGGCCGACCGTGAAAACTGGTAGGAAACGCTCGGAAAACCGGCCCTCGGAACTCTCCACCAGCTCAGACTTCATCGTTGGCCAAGTCGAGCGAAACGTGCTTTTCCGCGATTATTCCGCGAGCTTCGCGGCGAGTAACGTTCCTCACGATCTTTGATCCCGGTCAGAGGAAATCGCAGAAATACCCTGGCTTACCTTCCCTCGTCGAGACGTTTGAAAATTCGCGATCCTTTAAAATCGGTCGAGGAAAAAACTGGGAAAACTCGTGAGTAATATAATTTTCTCGAGCTGCTTCCACCATCAAATCTTAACGTTCATTTCTTTGTAATTCTGTAAATGATAAGAATTCTAAAAATACAAGACGCATCTTCGAATTCCAAGAATCAAGCCCATTAAGACCTCTCTCACTGATTTCTCGAAATTCACGACTAAAAGTATCAGAACTGACGTAAACATAGAAGCACATGATTCATTTAATCATTTCGCAAGATGCTTGATTAACTGAAAACTTACCAGACCATCGACCAAATTATCTCTGTCGACGAAACACTTGGTCAGAAGAATTCTTCACGAATGAAAATGAGACTCAATTATATTATAAGCAGATTCTTTTATAAATATTTGACAAACTTTAGTTACGTAAAGATAATAGTAAATATAATACGAAAAGTATTTACACGACCCAAGTGTGATATTAAATTTGACCTCATTCGTAGTCACGAGACTGACGATTCATCGTGTAAACGACTTCTTACGGAAAACAAGTGTCCTAACGGGACCATTAGATAGAATAATTGGCGGAAAACTTTCCACTGTTGTTTATCAACGGTGTCAAGGGCCACGGCTGATGTCGCGGAACGATTAAGCGAGTACCGAAACATCTGTCCCGTCTGAGGAATTCACGAGAATTTTCTTAAAATCGTATCGAACGATCTCGATTTCCCAAAGAGGGTTCGTTATCATCGTGCTAGCGACGATTAATTCGCCTGGCGGCAAGCCGAGCACGTGCTTCGATCACGAGAACGCTAGTCACAAGACAAACTTAATTGGAACGTTATGAATTAAATCGATGACTCGATCGCCGAGAGAGAAAGATTGTGACCCATTGATCGAGTCGAACACGTGCAGATTTATTCGCGACGCGTGATTCCGATCAACCAGGACTAATGAAATTTTTATCAAGACAACTCTGCAGCATCGCGACCCCTTTCTTGTCTATCCTAGCAATATTTATCGCGATTTCTTTTTTTTCTTCGTGACACGCAGCTGTAAATCTTGCAGACAGGTGTGTTTACATTCGTAATCATTCTTGAGATTAATATCTTATCGGATAACGCTGTTTTGCATTGAATTTAACACTATCAACTGTTTTTACTGATAACAAGAGGATCTGTAAATTCATTATCTTCTCGAAACAAAGTTGCATGAGCTTCTTAGATAATTCAATTTTCAGCAAAGTCAGGCCTTTCAGAGGTCTGAGTCACAATTGATTCAGCATCGTCATTCCAGGGTTAATTCATTCAAAAAGTTTGCAGAATTCTAATGGTACCCGTTGCTTCAAAACAGAATGTAAATAGTGTGAATCAGCACTTTCGAATCAGCCTCCATTTTTAGTTTTAAGAGAGTTCAATAAAATTAAACAGAACACTTCGAACATGTCTACAGTCAGTCGCTTTTAAAATTCGTAGTTTCACCGCAAAATGGCGATCGGGTGCAAATTGAATTGAATTATTCAACGAGTGTCTCTTTACGAAATCGTCGAGCTTCCCCTGCGATTGAGATAAAAAAAGGAACTCGAAACAACTGGATACAGAGCGTTTGATTCAATTTCGCCTCGAAACTCGTCTTCCAGGAATTGTACCAAGAATATAATGGATCGTGACAGATACGAAATAACGTTATGCGACACTCGAATCGTCGCTTTTATTCCGTCTGCACGGTTCGCGAGAAGTTTCGATACAAATTCATGCCTCATGAAACTTTCATTATCCGATCGATCCTCCTTGTCGTCGATTTACAAATCGATCGTTGTATTCTACCTCTGTTTCCACAACGCCCGGCGTTTTCTTCTTTCGACCGTTTTACATCGGACCAGCCATGGTGTTTCATTGATTCTTTTATAACGCGAGGATTTCTCAAACAGCTAATCGTTTCTCGA